TGGACCTGGATGAGGTTCAATCTCTGAGCTGTGATCCAGGGCAATATAGACCCTGTAATGTATTCATTAGTCTGCTAGAGCTTAACAATGCTCACCACAAAACAGGGGAGAGGGCCAGATCTTGCATGCTAATGAACCCGCACCCTAAACCTTCAAAGAAAAGAAGAGACAGATTATTCAGCTTGGATTGCCATCTGATTTTTTTGTCAATTAGCCATGTTACCCCCCCCCATGTATTGAAATAAGGAATCACCGAGGTCATTAAGATGCATTGGAAAACACCTATCAATAGTTGCAGTAACTATAGTGTGATCTGCTACCATGACTTATTTTAATTGAGTCTTGGTAACTAAAGTTACACTATAGGCCTACTGGTATATGGTTTACATTGTAATGCACCAGATAATATTTCATCATATCTATATCTACAGGAGACTTCATTTCTGGTTAGTTTTATATTTTGGTCATTAAAACTCATATATATTAAAACCATCTCATTTATCTGCAGGGCTATTCACGCTATTATTGGAAGATTTTGGTGTGAAAGGTGTGCAAGTTGAAGAAGTTTATGACCTACAGAAGCCATTTGAAGGGTGTGTATGGGAAGTAATATAAGTTGTATAATAAGTTGTAACCCTATTCATTTTTATTTTCATCATGTGTTACAACTCATTTCATGGAATATTAATAGTTAGAAAACACCCATGCACTACAGAAGTGACCGTGAGAAGATGAAAGTGACCGTAGTGCTACTCAGGTCTAGTTACATATATGAACAATCTATCATCCATGCACTGTTAAATCTACCAGAAGCAATAGATTTGATAGCGATGCATTGTTCTCAATTTCTCCCATCTATTGGCGCTCTGCAAAAATCAGCACCATGCCACAAGAACCCTTACAGCATTGTATATTGATAGCATTAATACGTTAATGCTATTACCATGTCAATAAATAATAATAAATAAGGTCCAGTAGTGATAAATGATGGAGTCATGATTTGTTTTGCAGGCCAGTGTATGGCTTCATCTTCTTATTCAAGTGGATCGAGGCAAGGCGATCGCGTAGGAAGGTCACCGTCAATGAAGAATGCTTCGTCAGCAATCCAGAGATTGTCAACAATATGTTCTTTGCTCAGCAGGTAAACTTACAAGTGTGTCCAGACCATTCCCTTGCAGGCAGCAGTGCAGAGGTCTATGTCCCTACTGCTCACAACATCTTGTCAGTTGTTTAGATTGCAGTTAATGAAAGAGGCTAATTGACGAGTTAGCGATTGAGATGTTTAATCGTTAAGTATTAGATGTTGAGTGTTAGAGTTTGGTTTCAGTGTGTTGTATTTTTAGGTTACGTAATACAAAATTCTACTTTTAGGCACTATGTTTCTCATCTAATGAAGTACTGATTTTCTTATTGGTGTGCATGGCTATCTTTCTGGTGGCTGTATAGGGTATACTGGTAGTAAGCACTGTGTGATGTCAGAAATTAAAAGTTTTTACATTTTCAGTGCTAAAATAAAAAGCCTCTCATTGCTTTGAAAAGCAGCACAAGTTATAATTTGGGAAATTATTTTGCCAATTTAAAGTAGGAATAAAATGGTAGGCTTGTGGAGATCACACTCTTTTCGTGCAGTAAATTACTATACAAATAGAAGTAATTAATAACATGTTCCACATTGATTGTTCCTGGAACCTGCCACCAGAATTATTATCGACATAAGCACAGTGTTATACTTGCCTTCTGCTTGCAGTTGATTCCAAACTCGTGTGCGACACATGCCCTGCTCAGTGTACTGCTCAACTGTCAACGCATGAAGCTGGGAGAGACGCTCAGTCAGCTGAAGGCATACACACACGGGATGAATCCTGATATCAAGGGCTATGCCATTGGCAACATGGCCGAGCTTGCAAGAGCTCACAATAGCCATGCAAAGTATGTTTGTGTGCGTGAAAATACTCTGTGTGCGTGCGTGTGTGTCCGCGTAGCTCTCTCTGTGCGTGAGTGTGTGCGTGCATACATTAGTATGTAATATCTGGTTAATCTATATTTGTGCTATATTCATTCACTCTCAGCATTAATTTCTATGTATTTATACATTAAAATACAAGGAAACCCTTACCATACGCTTACAGGCCAGAGAGAGCTCACCTCCCCGAGAAACACAACGGCGTCTCTACGGGTAGGACGATGGAAGCATTCCACTTTGTCAGTTATGTGCCAATCAACAACAGACTGTATGAACTTGATGGTCTAAAGCCGTATCCGATCGATCATGGTGAGTGGATCTACATGGTGATTATATTAGTTTTGATGTTGTTAGCACTGTTTGTTCTCATGCATCGCAGTCCATTGATCTTTGCACATTTTGTCGGCACATTTTCACGCCAGCAATGTTGTATTCAGTGCCTCTTCAGAGCAGCTGTTTTATACGTGATAAGAAGAAGGTTATGCGGGGAATGCTTAAGCGAGTCGTCATTTTGTATAGTGTGTGAATACGTATCTTCAGGTCCACTAGCCGAGAATGAAGACTGGACGGAAAAGTTTCGGCGTGTCATAACCGAGCGGCTCAGGATTGCCACCGGCGGTGAACCTAACCACGATTTTCGGTGAGTGTCCGAATTTTTCTCTCTCAATAACTCACGTATTTACATTAACCGATATGGACAGCACACAAGCTAGAGTTTAGTAGCATAAATATAGTATAAAAAGTTTATTAGTTCTTGAAGAAAATTGCTGCGTTGCTGTGGTGATCCGTGCCGGGAAGGAACTGGCTTGTCAACACCCAAACAACAGAGGGGTTAATCGGAAAGCAGTTTTGTCTAGTGTCCTGCACAGGGAAAACATTTTTTTTTTCACAGGAGCTCTTTTTCAAGTCTGTAGAAAAAATAGCTCTCGTCAAAGATTTTACGGGAGCTATTTTGAGCCTCACGGGAGCGATTTCGGAGGTTTGAAGAGCGAATCGCTCATCGCTCCCAGGTATTTTTTACCCTGGTCCTGCAGTATGTGGATGTTTCTGTTTGCATCTGACAGGTTCAGTTTGATGACCGTCGTACCTGACAAACGACAGATGCTGGACCACAAGCTTCACGTTCTCAAGACAGTTTATAAAATTGACATCAGCAATAAGCCTTACCATGTCGGCGTTTAATGCTCTGCGAACTACTGATATGTCTTAATAATCTCAAATGTTTTCATGAAAACTTGTCATAGCAAATGTAAACACAAACACGGCTTCCCCTTCTACCCGTTCTCTTGTTTAAATATTGTCATAGGTGGCACCACATACGACTATAGAAGAAGGCACGAATTTACAGTTCATAGACATTTGAAGAATTAAGGAATTACCTGAGTTGCCAATTAATTATGCTGTATATATTATGTAACGTTCTCAAAGAGAGAAGTGATAATTTAACTTTGTAGCTGATTTTATTTGTATCGTACCTATACTCTAGGATACGTAAATTTGAAATGGCTGTTGGTACAGAAAGACTTGGTGAACTGACGAAAGGTTGGCTAGAACTTGAAAGCGACCCAGGTAAACGTGATTGAAAGTTTCATATTTATATTATAAATACCGAACCAGGCCTCATCTGGTCCATAGGATAGCCATACATAGGAAAATAAGAGTAAAGAAGCAGGGTGAGAAAGTAATGGAGCTGTGAGTGTGAGATGTACAAAACTAAGAAAGATGTTAAAAACCACAGGCACTTGAAGCGTATCAACTGTAAACACACGCCACCGCCATTGCGCGTACACTTACACATAAATATATAGCTATATGAATACCTTCAATGCCTGTGCTAAAAAACATATAGTCATTCAGGATTAGCCCTGCTACCAAGTTCATGGAACGCTTAGCCCGAAACTGGACGCCTCTTAGTGCGCCATGGCGCGCAGCGCGCTCTTGTTTGCAAGGGTGCATAATGCAACATTGCAACCAGTGAATCTCTGGCGCATCTTCGCCGGATGCGCATAGTGACAGCGCGTCTCCAGCCGAAATAGTAGTTTCATGAGAGATGTGATCCGCTAGATGGCGCATTATTATTAACAACAATAGAAATCCGTTAACCTAACCCTAACCCTAACCCATAACCCAAATCCTACAGGCTAACCCTAATCTACCTAAACCCTAACCTAATCTACCCTACCTATCCCTAATAAATAATAATATAATAGGCCTCTTTAGGATGAGAATTCGGACCCATGGCAGACGCGCTGTCCCTAGTCGCGCCCATCTCGCCGATCGAAAACAGTTGCCATACTAAACATGGCGGACACGCGGTCGACTGCATGGAAACATTTGATGAAACAATTTGCATGTAGTGAAGTTTAGTTAGACTGTGTTATGTTGCTGTACAGGTTACCAAGGCCGAAACAAAGAAAAGAAAACCAAGGCATGGCTTATTTCCTAACGCCCGCAAAACAAGATTCAAACAAAAAGAAAAACATGAGGAAAAACAAAGAGCATGCGCGCATGCGGCATTAGGCGCATGCCAGTTTCGGCGAGCGTCAAATACTACGGTACAGGCCTACTAAGCTGAGGGTCCGGTAATACCGGAACGTACCCTGGTACTTAATCTATTATGCCGACCGTATCTCGGCCTACTCGCACTTAACGAGTCAGGGAGTCGCCTACGCCTACTTTTCCGCCTAACCTCATACTAACCATATCAATAGTTACCATAGGACATTCCGGTATACCGGACCGTACCAGGGTACGTTCTGGCAGTACCCTTGGGGACATAGACCCTATGAGCCCTACTAACAACACGTCCACAGTTCTGCGGACTACTACTGTGTCTGTGTTACTGACACCACAGTGTAGAGACATTTTGCCATCAGTTAAATTAGTAAAATTCCTGGTGGCTATCCCATGGAAACTTCATACACCCTATACCCAGTCCTTCTGTATATCTTAGTAATTTGGACCTGGATGATGTTCAATACCTGAGCTGTGATCCAGGGCAATAGACCCTGTATTCATTAGTCTGCTAGAGCTTAACGATGCTCACCACAAACGGGGAGACGTGGCCAGATCTTGCATGCTAATGAACCCGGCACCGTACCTTCAAGAAAAGAAGCAGACAGCATTATTCAGCTTGCAAGTGCTCGAAATAAGCTTGTCCGTTGTCCTGAGACAACCATGAATTTGCCGGACAACCTAACAGTTTGAGACATTGTCCGGTGGACAACCTAAGAAAAAAGTGAGCGAAAAACGCACGTATTTATATTTTCTGACGCGAAATTGGAATTTCTTTCGGGCTGCGATCGGTCCTGCATTGCGTCCATAGCTATGCTAGGGTTCTCAGGAGCCACTTTAAAAGCCTG